TAAATTATATTATATCTATTCTGCAATCATAGATATTTAATATTGTAATAAATAGATAAATATTTAAAAAAATATTATCTTTAGCTTACCATATGTTTTGTATTGTTTTACTTTTATTATTTATATGCTAGTATTAGTATGTAGCATAAAAAATGACAAAAGATGAAATTATGAATACTGGTTAAGGGTTTGCAAATTTCAATCAAGTAAATATATTAAAAGAAAACCCAACCGAAGTGGACCGAAGACATGCAAAATAAAAAGTATGTGGAGGGAGTGAAGTCCCCCTATTTTTTATTTGAGCCCCCTGGGATTGTAAAAGCTGGTGAGGCTTCTGTATAATATATACCGATTTTAATCAAAAATATCCTGCAGAACTAGTGACTTTTTTTAAAAAAACTGTGTATGAAGCTAGATTATTTATATCTGCTGTTTCCATTTACGCCAATTCATTAAATTTATAGTTTATTTACATAAAATAAAGCACGAAATATTGGCATAGATTTTAGTATCAGTGCTTACTATTGTTTAGCCTATTTTAAGAGATATGATGTGAAGTTATTACATATTTTTAAATGATATAAAAATAACAACGGGAAAGCCAAAAATATTAAGACAAATTTTTTTTGGTAATCTCACCTGGATAATTCTTGACGTCTATTCATGTTTATCACTATCATGGATGACCTTAAGTTTCGAAGGTAAAGCTACTTAATAATCAATAGTAAGAATAAATGTTGGAAAAAAATAAATGGGCGGAATGCACCTTTATAAAAGATATGATGACTAAATAAATCGAGATAAAAACGAATTACATTATGAGAAAGTCAGATAACTCTTTTGGGAAGTGGTTGAGAATACCTGCATTAAGTTAAAATAAAAGGGAGAAAACAAATGGCAGCACATTAAGTGCGCTTTAAGCAGTATAGTATTTATATAAAGGATAAAAATAAATATATTAGCAACAATTTGCCAAACCTTACTATTAAAGAGCAGCTGAAACCATTTATTCTGAGAATTTTATCAATATTTAATGCTTAATTGCAGATTACTTTAAATCCATGGTAGGACTGATGTATTAGAAATGTTATTAGCAAAATAATAATTTAAAAAAAATGCTCAAATTTTTAACATACGAGAATAGAAAATATAGAGTAAATATCTGGTTTCCGCTGATTATAGTGCCTGACTTACTTATCAATTTTTCGGTCAGTTTTGCGAACCACAAAAAATGAAACCGATTTATAAACAAAAAATTTTGATACAGATCATATGGACAAAGCAATTTCGCTGGAAAATGATGATAATATGAAATTTAATTTTCCTAAATTCGCAAAATATTTTAATCTCGATAAAAAACATTATCACAGGGTTTAAATTTCGTTGTAAGATGTGCCAAGTTCTATCATCAAACAAGACTAGTATCTTCAACTGAGAAACCATTTATTGGTATCAACGTAAAGCCTAATCCTTAACTTTAAAATAAAATTTAAATCAAATATCTATTATAGTTTTGAGCTAAATGAGTTTATGTGAAAGTTGATTTTTTTTGGCGCAGTTCAAATATGGAATGTTTCAACTGGCCATAAGATATTATTTCAGAATTGTATTATAAATTAAAAATTAGAATGAATAATTAATATTAACATTTTATTTTATCATCAGACTCATTTATTTAATGATAATATTTTATTAATTATTGTCTTTATTATCTAGATGTTAGACATAGCTGCTATTTCACCAAAGTTGCAAGTTGTGGCATATATAAATTTGACTGAACCCAAATCAAAACTTGAGACAAATTGTAGTGTTAAATAATATTTTACTAAACAAGAATACTCTAGCCAGATCAAAAACACCAGCTACTATAAAAGATTTTTTTGAAATAAATAATAATACTTCCGAAAATCCTCTAGACATATTTTTTAAATCTATAAATACTCAAATAAATATTTATGATGAATTTTCTTATATCAAAATATGTATATTAAGTTTAGTACTGCATTGCCCCAAAGTGCTATTGTTGAACGATTATTTAATACTGCAAAGCTTATATTATCTGATCTCGCTCTAAACCTAGGGATGACTGCATAGAAATGTTATTATTATTGAAATACAATAAAAAAAAATAATAATATATATTTAAAATTATTGACATATTTTTATACCATTATATTTCATTTGTGAAAATAGAGGAATGTAAAAAATATTTCAAAAAATATTCTAAAATAGCGTAAAAACTTTAGTTACTTTCTTTTAAAGCGGTAGCGATAGAGCGCTACTTTTAAAAGTAGCTTTTAACTACACTGCTTTATAAACATTATTTGTTATTAAAATCTCATTATATTTTGAATTGAGTTATATAAATATAGATAATACGTAACTTACATTTTAGTTTAATGCTTCAATCCGTTTGGTAGTCAGTATAAAGAAATAATTAATTAGCAAAATTGGAAAATTTCTAAAATTGATCGAGATTCAAGATAAAAGGAAAAATATAGAAGCACTAATTATAATAAAAAATATATAAATTAAATTACTATGAAAAAATAACCTTTTTTTGAAATTTCTGGCTATATATGATACTTTTATAATTGTAGTCAAATAAATTTGTGGTTTCTTTGGAATATGTAATACAAATAAGATGAATTGATAATGTGGAATTAAATCGGATACGATAATAATAGATCATTTTTTACCTTAAAAAACTTAGGCTCATTGCTTAATAAAATACTAAGTTCACTTTTAAATTCGCAATAAAAAGATGAAATATTAATCCCATTAGAATTGTAGCGCCTTTGGAAAAGGTTCTGTTTTTCAATTTTTTAAATATAATTTATAATAATTTTTAAATGTGAAAATATTATTAAATTAAATATGTCTACAGTACAGGTTTATTCATATATTTTAAGATTATTTCGCGCACTTTCTTAAATGGGAGAATAAATTTCTGAGATGATTTTATATAAAATAGAAGTGGAATTAGAGTTGGAAAATTGAGGAGAGGGTTTAAATCAATTTTATAGAAATGATAGCAATTTTTTTTTCTAGATATAAATAATTAAGTATTAGGGATTTTTTTTTATCTAATTATATTTTCCATGGGGAGTGGGGAGGAAGTTCTCAACCCCAAACCCTACCCTCCCATTTTCTATGCTACTGAGATATGCTGAACATTGATGAAGTTTTAGGAAGCCATTTATTATTTGATTTTTGCACATATCTTAAATTATGTTTCAGAAATTTATATTTATTTTTAAATCCAATCTTTTTCCTTTTACATTATTAATACAATAAATTTATATAAAGTCATATAAATTTAACTAGTAAATGTTTTTTTACCTCATAGATTTTAGAAATAAAATAAAACGCGAATCATGAATAATTCAGACTTATTTAAGTTCATAAAAGTGCGTAACCAAGGGTTAAGAAAATGATAAATTTACTCTGTCCATTGGAAATTTACCTATTTTAGTAAATATTTTAAATAAAAAAGTGAATAACCAAAATTTATTTTTATAAAAATATAATATAGCTAAAGAGGTAATAACTATAACCCTCTATTAAAATTTATAGGGCAACACCCCACACAATAGCCCCCCTCCCATTAGCTAAATCCTGGCTACACATAAATGAGTGTGTTAAGCGTAGAGAAAACAAATTTTTTAAAATACATCTATTTCTTTTTTCAGCAGGTTTTGTTTGAGATGCCCATGTGGGTATAGAAACCACTGTTAGCTACATCTCAATGATGATGATGATAATAATAATAATAGTAATAATAATAATAATAATAAAAATAATAATAATAATAATAATAATAATAATAATAATAATAATAATAATAATAATAATAATAATAATAATAATAGCTAATATTATTTTTTGATCTTTTTTACTTCGAATTTATGACAGCGGCTACTAAAAGAAAATTTATTAGAGGCAGATTTACTTCTTACTTTGCTTTACCCATTACTAATAAATATATGACCGGGGAACCACCCTTGAAAATTATGATTACCTTAATACTTAAACCAAACCACCTAACTTATTCTTATCGCGCAATTAGGATTTTTTAAATTGGAGGGGAGAGGGTTCCGAGGTTATTTTTCCTAGAGGTTTTTCATTGGGTAGTTCAAATGGGTTTTCGCTATGCGCTTATCATTTTATGGTAGGTGGTTTTTTTTTGAGTTGGTATTTTCTGGTGTTTTTTGTTATGTTTCACTGAGGTTTTATTTCCATTGCTTTTTATTCCTAAAGCTTTTTATTGGTGTTTATTTACGGGTTTACTAAATTATATCAAAAGAGAGTTTGGAATTCTTTTCAAAAATATAAATCTGAAAAGATTATTGATTTCTGACTTCTGAAGATTTTTTTAATTTGAACAAATTTTACTTCAAATTCTAAATCTTTTAAAAAATCTTTTGTATTTACGAATAAATCTTTTGCGATTTTTATGAATAAAATATTTTTCTTGATTACAAATATTTTTAAAATTTTTTCTTCTTTCAAGAAAAATCTTTAATTTTATGATCTTCAAAGATTTTCTGCGCATAATTTTGGGAAAAGAAAATCTACAAAATAATTTTTTTTTTCAAACTCTGTCTCTATGTATTATTATTGTTAAGAAGCACGATTTAGGGCGATTTTAATAACAGTCCGATTAAGGATTTAATCAAAATATTATTATGTAAATAGAGATTCAAACTGTAAAATTTATAAATAATAAAAATAATTGCAGAATTCATCAAAGAAAAAATTTGGAAATATTGAAATTTTTTATTTTTAATATTTAAATGTATCAAACATTATCTATTTTAAATCTAGGAGTCTAGCCGCTATGGCAATACCCTATAATTAATCTTCAATTATAGTTTTCTTTTTATTTGAATAAAAGTAAATCAATTCACGAATCAGTAAATTACTACATTTTTCATATGATAATGATAATATTTAATGTTGTTGAAGAGTGAAGACTGTTATTTAATGTTTAGCATGTGCCTTAAAATTATTATTGAATATTTATATCATTAGCATCAGCTATCCATTACAGCCTGTGAGCAAATTTGCAAAAATATGAAGATTGTATATTACCTTAAATCACTATGACCGAAGTACTATTCTTAATAAAATTAATAATTTATTATATAACTAACCAAATTTTTTTTATATTAATTTTATTTAAATAGAAATCCAGCATTTTCAATGATTTTGATGAATTTAATGCAGTAGTGGGCACATTGGAAGATGAGGCAGAGGAAACAATATATCCGGAAATCGACTTCGAAAATGACAAACTTACTCAGAAAGAATCACGATCTACTATTTATAATAATTCTGTCCTTCATAATCAGATAATTTTGAATGATGAAAACAAAATTGTGCTCACAATACCTGAATCAAATTATGAAGATCAAATGATATTGATAGAAACTGATATAGATCAGTTAGATAATAACGAAAATACTATGCTATCACAGCAACAATTACAAAACTTTATTGGTACATCAGATAATACATTCTTATCTTTGCAACCTGAGGAAAATCAAATAATGATGAATAATGATTCTATATCAATGTTGATAATGGAGAATTCTAATCAGATCCCAACTATATTTCCTAAACATAGTGTTAAGAATCTTAAAATAAACAAGAAATCTAAAAAAAATAAAATGCTTGATCAAAATATTGAATCAAATATTCAAAAAATTAGTAATTCTGAAATGAATAGTACTGTTTTTGATCCTAGAATGTTTTTTCAAGGTAAAACAATTATACAAAGAAAAAAAAAGAAGCATATAGAGAATATTAGCACAAATAAAAGGAAATATAATGATATATCAACTTCATATTTGGAAAGATCATTAAATTTTTTAGAAAAATGTAAAGTAAAAAACACCAAAAAATTATGTTTTAAATTAAAAAGAATTGTTAGAAATGACAAATGGATATATAAACAAGGATTTAAACAATTAAAAGATATTCTAGATATAAGAGAATGTTCATTCACACCTTTACAAATGAAATTTCTTAGATATCCATCAATAGAAAATTTAGCACAGATATTTCAACCAATTGTAAGTCTTAAACATATGCCTGATGTTGAAATCACAAAAATTTTAAAAATTGATGATTTAAAAGTTCACAGTAAGCAAATATCGCATAATTTTGATATGGGCAAAACAAAGGCTAAAAGGGAACCCCAGTTTTTGAACAGAACATTCACTTCTAAAATTGATAAAATAAATCATAAAAATAAAATCATATCCAAGATTTTCTGCCGTGAATTGACTAAGAAATCAGGACTAACAGCTAATGAGGTTTATAAAGATAAAGATATTGAAGTCACTATTAATGTCAAAGAAGAAAAATTACTTAAAGACAAAGGGAATAATGATTTATATGAAAAATTAGTCTTACCATGCAGCCCTCAAATTATACAGCCTGAAGTGGATCTGGAAAGTAAACCTGACACTGTTCAAATGAGTATAGAGTATAGCATTTTAAGCAATATAAAAAATAATATTAACAATGATGTTACAATAATAGATACTATTGTTAAAAGTGAAGGTGATGTGACAAAAAAATTAAATGAATCTCTAGCACTATCTAATTTAAAGAAACGAGTTGAAAAATTGAAAATGATGAGTAATGAGAGCTCAAAAATCCCTTTAATTCTTTCGCCTACAAAAATTGAAAATAACAAACTGATTGCTGCTAATTTAAATACATTAAAGGAAGAGATTGAAATTAAATCAATTAAAATCAAGTCAGAGCCACAACATAGTACTGAAACTGAGAGAAGTAATTTCTGCATACTTTTTTTCATGATTACATGATGTGTTTAACTTTTATCAATATAATTTAATTATGATATTAAATCTTTAAATTGGTTTCTTAACAATTTTCATGATATTTAATCATTAAATTAGTTTCTCATTTTCATGATAAGATGTTCAATTTTTAAAAAAATTTGTTAAAATATTTGAACCAGGTTTGGGTATGAAATTTTTTATTATTAAAGTCAAAATGATAATCAAAATTGTTCTCGGGGATAAATCAATTAGGGATTTTTTTTTTATTTTGCCTAACTTCATAAAAAATATATAAAATTTTTGGGCTCAGACCATATAATTGAATTGTAAGGCTCTAACGAGAATAGTTTGGTAATTACTATATTTTTAGCCATTTAAGTCAATTTTTAGCCATTTAAGTCAATTTTTAGCCGGCTAAACTAGTTTTTAGCCAAACTATTGCTCTGGCCTTGTGGTTTTTTTTTAAAAATATAACAGCTCAAATTTGTAAGAAATTAATATAAATTAAAACCTTCTCAATGTTGATGGATTACCTCTGGCAGGCTCCTAAAGATTGAGCTGAATTTGCCGACATTTAGCCATTACCCAACTCTAGAGAGGGATTGCTGTCTGTTAATATTTTGTGCTAATACTATTAACTAGAGTCTATGATTATAAATAAGATTCCATTATAATTCCGATATGTGATGTTTTTTTTATCATTTTTTTATATCTTCATTACTCTATCTCAATCAAATTACAATAAATATTGGATCATAAAAGGGTATAAAATCTTAGAAAGGTAGGCTGGGTAATTATAAAAATAAACAAAAATTTACCTTTGGTCTGGGCCTAAAAATGTGTCTTTACAGGTCTGGTTAAAAAATATTATATATAAAAAAACCTAACCTATTATAACAGAATTAGTACTATCCAAAAATTTCGAACCAAGTCCCAATTCTAATATTTTATAAAAAATAATTAGCGCCACTTCTGGTTCTTAAAATTTTGAAAAATGGATTCTGTTTCCGATTCTTAAATTTGACGCCTTTCCAGATTCTGATTAGGAGCGTTCAAAAAATATTTTCCTAACAACTAGACATTGAAACCAGAGCCTAGATGAACCGGTATAGGCAAAAAGGTGCATTACCCTGAATTCACAGTTAGCGCAAATTCGTGGCGAAGTATACAAAATTCCTTAGTGAATAATAAAAAAAAGTACAGCATATTTTATATACTTCGCCATTAATTCTCTAACTGTGAATTCCGGGTAACGTGGATAAGGATTTACACAATTTTTTTACTTAATAATATCTAGCATATTATTAACTCAGCTACTTCGCTAAGAATTAGATTATCGGATTAACAGTCGATTTCCAATATTTTGGACTCGGTATTCTTTACCAATGATTTCTATATTTTTAAAAAAGCCTATTAAACTAAATTATAATAGATTTATAATTCGAATCACATTTTCATACATTCTCACCCCCCCCCCCTCACCCCAATAATCGGTTACTTTTGTTTTATTTTATTTTGTCACTCATTAACCCATTAATGGTCACACTTTTCCCAGCCTATGAAATTTCTTATTTTTTCAAATTTTATTTATTTTAGTCTAACTAAGAAATCGTAAAAAATTGGCACGAAAAAATCATCCTAAATAGGAAATCTGAACCGTTTCTGCAACGTTGACCATTAAGGGTATAAAAATAAGATAAAATTATATTATTATAAAAAATCGAAATACGATAGATAATTTCAATTTATTTACATGCTTCATATTTATAAGATACAATTTTGTAATTTTTATATTTTATGAAATTTTTTTAAACAATCAATATGTATTGGTATTTGATACATATTACATATATATCTTGTCTGACTATGGCAAAGCTTACAACGTCGCCTTTTGTTATCGATAATAGTTGTAACATAATGACCATAAGATTTTCAAGTGTTTCACTTAGTGATGAAAATTGACTAGGATGGACTCTACTTGTACTCATCTTTTTTTTTACCAGGGGAGTCTTCAAAAATGTTATAGTTATTTCCAACCGAAACGTTAATGATATTTTATTATCAGGATTCTCTCGATTCCATAACTTCCATGAATTTACTACTGCTATATCAATAAAATTGATTAGACCACCACCATTTTTTACCTCATATTTTTTTTTTAATGTTGACACTAGGTTATCGCACAGATCAGGAATTATGGGAATTTATTAGATTAGGTTTTATAATTTTTATTTTTTGAGAAAATCTTTCGAGAGAATCTTGATACGAGCATAGAGGGCTACATTGATACAACTTTACCACTGAACTAACATTCCATCGAACTACAAATATTTCATGTCTTTTCAAATCGGTAGTCTCCCCTATCTTTTTTTGCTATAGCTTTAATTGTTTCTAGGGGAGAATTTTCAAGTCTATTTTCTCGTATAGTCCTAGTTGCCAAAAATCCAAGGTGCTTCAAATGCGATAAAAGCCATAGAGATGTAAAAAATTATCGAATTAAATAGAATGCAAAGAATGTACTTGGACAACTTTGAGTAAATTTGTAACAACCATGCCTCCTAATCCAAGATTCGAAATTGGGCTTTTATTTTTACCTTGATATATATTAAATACAAATATATATTTATCGTTGTAACAACCATGCCTCCTAATCCAAGATTCGAAGCCATTAGGATTTTATTTTTACCTTGATATATATTAAATACAAATATATTTATCGTAGGAGGCAATGGCTAATTATATTCGAATCGAATTGATTTACCTTTGATAAACATTTGACAGGAAGGTATTCCTCGATAAGGTGTCATTTGTTCATCTATGCATAAATTATAAATATACCGAATTGTTGAAACTTTTATTTAGTAAATTTAAATATGGGCTGATTTTATAAAGATTATCTTCTTTATCAAAAGTTAAGTTATTAGATAAATGTAGATTCCTTTTGGTATCGTGAAAATGTTGTGCAGGGCCATAGCCAGGAATTTTCCGTTAGGGGGCCACTATTTTTTTTAAATAAAACAAATTAAGCATTAATAGAATTTTTTTGCTATTTTTATTAAAAAATTATTTGTTATATGAATACAAAATAATACTATATATGAACATACAAAAATAATACTATAATATAATACGACGATTTTTATAAGTTTTAACATAAATGAATTAAGGGATAAATTTTGTGTTAATTTTTTTTCATAAGCCATCAATACTAAATTTTGTTTATTTTGATCTTTCATCGACCCTCTAGTGCTCAATAGAACTCTTTATTATATAGAAAGAAGTCACACAAGAAGCCGTTGGTACCCCAATGATGATGGCTGCTGAGTACCATTTATACATATCTTTGGATATTTTCAAAATTATGTGTTTCTTTAACTTCTACAGCTAATAATCCTTTAGCTATTTTCATTTCATGATGTAAAGTTCCTTATTTAAGTTTAACAATTATTCTAATCGGGCTATTTTGTACAATATAAAATAATCACTATCAAAAGGGGACAATGCATTAAAACTAGAAGATTATAATCATCGTGTGTAAATCTATCTAAAAAATTATCAACAAAGTAATAAATAATTTCATAATAATTCCATTTTAAAGAACTCCGATTGGAGTCTTTTTCGCAATCAAATTGTAATTTGGTTTCGACTAAAAAATCTTGGAAATTTATAGGCGTTTTACATACGCTTGATGATTCGTGGGGAGTGAGATTAAATTTTGCTAAAAGTTTTTCAGCCTTATTCTAAATCAAATTAATAGAATTATTGCTTTTTATATTTTTTAAATATATTGATCGTGGAATCAATACAATTTTTAGCCTCCACTTATCTCATAAATTATAATGGCTAATATAACATAATTTATATTGGCGTAATTAATATTAACGTATTGAGATAAAAGTCCAGAGGCTTTGACAGAATCATGAGTGGAAACCTCTGAATTAAGAGTTCTAATAGAAAAGTAAACTAATACTTCACCAATAGCCTCAAAATGAACATAAATAATACTAGATGTTTCTAAATGACCAGTCCATCTCTGGTCTAAAAGTCTCTTATGGCCTGCATATTTACAGGTTACGTTAAACCGCCTAAAAAATTATGCAATCCATTGAATAAATTAAAAAAATTAGAAATGATAACAATATTATTATACCAATTTTGAACCACAAGATGCAACATGTGGTTGTAGCAATGCATAAAAGGAACTTTTTTATTAATTTTTTTTTGAAGTAGGGTTTGCACTCCATTTCGGCCAGACATAACGTTTGCACCATCATATGCCTGGTTTATCATATTCGTTGAATTAATATTTTACTCATTAAGTTGCTTTAAAATGCAACTAGTAACGCTTTCAGCAGAAAGACACTGTAAATTATTAATCCCTTTTAAATTTTCTTGGACTTCTCCAGAAAAAAATATATATAATTATGCTCAGGTTTTCACAACCTGGTGCATCTTTTGTCACATCAGCCTTAAGACAAAATAAAAGGCATCTCACCTTTATTATATTTATCTGAAATATAATCAAGCACCATATCTACCATTATAGATATTACTTCGTTTTAAATCTGGATGATGTATATCGCGTATTTTTGTATATAAATTTCGTAATTTTATTTAATTCAGGATCTTTTTGGATGGTGTATGAAAACTGCTATAAATAGTCCAGAAAGAATAAATTATGTTTTCTACATTTGCAGCATCCGTAATCTTTGTTGAACCAGTCCCAAAAGATAGCTCCTTTATATTAAGAAATATCATGAATTCTTGATTTAAGATCGTAAAGATTACGGTTGATTTGTTGGCCTACCAAAATTGTTATCTCAGTATTTTCTTTATAATGCTAAAATATTCAAGCTATTTTAAATAACTGGTTATATCGGGTTTATATAATATTATTTTGTCTAAGATCTTTATCGGACCATTTTTAAAAATCGGCCCAAATCGAGCTGTTTAGCAACACTGCACAATAATTACGAAATTTTATCAAAATTTAATAAGAACCTTTTTTATTTTAATAAAAATTTACGGATCGGTATCAATTTGTTTCCTTAGATTTGATAATTTAATTCGCTTCAGAAAATCCAGGTTTTTTAATTTGCACCCAGATCTATATCAGAGACCTTCAAAAGATAATAATATTGTGATTGAACCATAATAAATAAAATAATTATCATTGAAATAAGTACAATTTAAACGTTATAATTAAGTGCCTATATAACTTTATACACACATGAAAATGATAAAATATGAATGAATAATGATTTATTATTGGATAAAAATAAAACAGGATAGGAAGAAATTTACAAACAAGACATGTTTTTTATATAAATATTTAAAATTTATTTTAAGAATATAAAAATAATCAATTACAAAAATTCTTTTTAATTTGGGGGGCAGGTTTGGGGGCCAAAATTTTTTTTGGAGGGGGGGCTGCCCCCTCCTTCGTGACTACGGCCCTGATGTTGTGCCATGGAATTGCTAACGATTGGTATAGTAATATCATTGTCATTTGACCAATACATTCCTTCTTGCAATAAGGAGTTATATTCAGTCAGCAAAAGAATTCCTATAAATCTTTTCATCTCTGACTGGTCTATTGTTTGTTTGGAATAATTATGTGATCACAAGCAGTGAATACATTTCGTGATCAAAAAATAATTCAAATATTTCTATTAGAGTTTTTCCGATCAAATTGAAATTCGATAATAATTCATTATCAGTAGGCCTCGATGTGTAAATTGGATCAATTTTTTCCCATTTTAAATTATTTAGAAATTTAATTTTTGTAGATATTGAGGTTTCTAATATCAATGTCTGCTGGATATTGGATTTTGATCTCCCCTGCAGTATCTAGTGGAAGTTGTGGTGTTTCATTTAGATCGTTTTCATCAAAATCTTTTTCATCGCTAACTAAAGCAGCATTAGGAGGTATAATTAGAACATCTGTTTTATAAACAGGGTTTTCATCGAAAAGCATGGATATAATATTTTAATATTAAAAATAGGGCAAATATAAGATGATAATAAATCATTTATTTATTCAAATGAAAAAATATAATGAGAGCATATGAATAAAATTATGAATTTTCTGGATTTTTTTTAAAAATAATAAAAATATTATGATGAAAAAATAGTATTTTTGTTTAGTAAGAAAGAATATAGACAAAAAGTTATAATTATGCCAAATTTTTTTTATATAATTTTTTTTAGAAAAATTGCTTTTTTTGAACCCTTATGTGGTCAACGTTGCATAAATGGTACAGTAAAAAACAAGAATTATAAACCCAAAGAATGGTAGACCAAAATTAATTAAAATAGGTTAAGGCATCAAGAAATAAATTTATGCTAATTGCATTAAAAAAATAATACTTTTCATCGAGGGAGCCTAGAACATTTGGCATTTTAATAGTTCAAATTGTCTAACTTCAATTTATATTATAGTACAATCTTCGAGCTATAAGAATCATATGTGAAATTTTCAATTCAAAAAATTTATATATGAAAAATCAAAGTTGGCCATTAATGGGTTAACTAGTTTGACCTTGTATTAGAAGTCCGCATACGGTCCATTGGACAAGCTCGTCTAAACACAAAATTAGAAATAAACTACGGGCCGGACTTAATTTCTTTTAAAAAAACTATCTTGATTAAAACTATTTATTACCAATTTCATGGATATAAAAAACATTTTCTTTCCTAAGAAATAATAGTCCATACGCTAAATTACAAGTTTGCACGTTATTTTGATATCCAGAATCACTTACAATTCAATTTTGCCTTCAGACAATAAATTAATAATTATGAGTCAAGGAATAAACTTCGGCAAATGTAATTAGGGTGAAAATCAGCGATTGACGCATCTACCATTAGTATAAAATCGTTAGTAGGTTGGTTTTAATTCGAGCACATTTTAATCTTTATAATGCTAATAGCATAACTACACATAATATCCAATATAAAATAGTTTTTCTAAAATTATGCTTGTACTCTTCTAGTAACTATCAAATATCATTATTGGCCATGTAATATTTGTCTCCAACTTGTAACTTGTAATTCTATATTTTTTGTGCCACATCTAATCGTAGTCGTCCATGATCAATCTTTTTTCATTCAAATTATTTTCGGACAACGGTTAAATGGGACGAAATTTTTTTGAGAGGATTGGGTGTGCTCTGCTTATGTTTATTTTTTGCATAATCCGCGATGTTAATATTCATGGAATATGCTTATAAACATAAATAATTATTTATTAGACGAGAAGATATTCGAATTAATCTTGTAAGGTTTGTGTCAATAATTCAGATAAAACCGTTGTTGTAACTGTTTTCCTATATTTATTATATCTATCATCGTTTAATTAAAAATATCAATTAATTTAGATTGTTTCTAGTTCATCCAATAATAAATAGTATAGTATAGAAAACCTACTCCACGAATCGAATAGAAATGAATATATATAATAAATTGTAAATTAATCGTTTTTGTTTTTCAAAATTTCCTTACATCATTTTGAAAGTTTTTAGAATGTTACCCAGTTTTTTATGAAAAAAATTTAAGCGAGAATTTATATTTCAAACTAGAGACGCACTATCCACCATTTTAGCTGGTACTGAAACTAAAATAATGTATGTAAATTTTATTATTCGTATGAATAGTCGATATATTTATTATTCGTGGTATAGAGCATTCTATGGCTAAAGTTATAAAAATGCCAATCAAAAAATTAGACTGGATTTAGAAAAAAATTATCGTCTCTTAATTTTTTTTTTGTTTGGTTCGCCCTGAGTTTTTAAAATAATTTTGTAAATAGTTTCTAATAGGAATTCAAAAATACGAGAAGCGAATGAATGCTAAATGATCAACCATTTGATTTTTTTAAACTGATATCTTTTTAAATTTGACTCCTGTTTATAATTAATTGTTTTGTTATTTCGGTCATAACAAGTGTTGTTGAACAACTTGATTTCAGCCGATTATTGGAAACGGCAGGCGCAATTTTAGCCAGAAAAATATTACCTAAGCATCGAAATTTCGCTAATAGTTATCCAAACCTATGAGCAAAATCTTTAGGCTTGCGTAATATTTCTGGATAAAATATTGAGTTCGCCGTTTTTAAAAGTGGCTCGAACATTAACAACAGTCCCAATTTTAAAATTATAATTTTATGCGCCGGGTTTGCAGATCTCCGCTACATCTAAACCGTAGTATCGATTATACACGTCTATTAGTAATGGTCGGTCTGGACTGGTCCCTGAAAATTTTTAATAAGGGTTTTCGACTCAATCCGGTCCAAAAATAGTTTATACAGGTTTTCCGTGAAATTAAGAAAAATCAAAATGTGCATTATTAGATATTATCCCGCTCGAAAAACACAAATTGTCTGACCCGAAAAAATATTTTGCGCAAGTTGCCCCCGCCTGAATTGAGCTATTCCTTTTAAAGCATTTATTTATTTTCATATATTTATTTATTTTTATCTTCTAAAGTAAAAAAATTGCCATTATTTAAATAAACAAATTTGAATATAGCCTTACCTTATCTTTTAATATAATAATAAAATAAACTTATACGTTATACTAAAGTGATAAAAGAAAATATATATACATCCGATTTTATCGATAATTTTTAAATATGTTCTACTACGCATTGATAAATGCTTAAAACTATCAAATTTTATAAATTAGGCGATTCCGTTACAAGCTTCAAGAAAAAAGAAATCGACGCCAAAATAGCCCCCATTCATGAGGTAATTATATTTTTTTTTAAAAAAAAGTTTGATAATTCAATTTATTGAGTCTTATTTTAATTTCGGATCCATATTTTACGTATATATCTAATCCCGAACCATTTTTGTTTTTCAATAGTTAACCGAGTACTTTTGCTTTTATTAATTTTTTCAAAATATGACTCTTAGGTCTCGTTTAAATAAGCGCGAAATAGCCACGTCGCTCAAACGATGTATTCATCATTAACAATAATTTATTACGTATCTTTTAGAGACATCGCGGTATTTCGTGCTAAATATAAACGGCCTTAGGCGGAATCAGTGGCTTAATCAAGATTTTTGTATAAGAGGTTTCCTATATTTATTTATTTTTTAAAATTTCACTCGTAAAATTTTACATTTTCTTTAGGCCTTATCCTGTTCGCCTTATTTTTTAATGGGCTAAACCGATTTTGAACTTGAACGCCCTGCCCTTTTTTGGGTTGTTTTATATATGTACATTTAAATAAATATTATTTGCCGTTTCATTATTTTTTTCTATACAAATAAAACAAAGACGTTACTACTTATATAAATTTATATAGTCAAGGCTTTAGAGGAAGCTATATAGCTGGCTAAGCAGCCTGCTGTTTAGAAATAAAACGAACCTGGATACTGCTTTAGAACTGAAATATAAAATAAATAAATAAAAAAATTGTATTTCATAATTTTATTTTAAGTTAATTATTATATCAAACTAAATATTTATTTATGAATTTCTAAAATCTCGATAGAGCGACGCGTTTGCATTTTTATACCGGCGGCGCTCTGACAAACAGTGTAAATTTGTTTGCATATTATTGCCAGCAAAATTAATAAAAATCAAAATGTTATAATACATCCAAACCAAACAAAATATGAATATAAATTCTTATAAAAATTTATAAATGTTTTATAAAATATCTTTAACAAATATAAATAATTAATCATCAGCTTAAGCAATGCATAACAACATGATCGAAGAATTGCGCATGGATACATAGACTCATTTTACACAAATGTACAAATTAAATTTGTATCAGAATATATTATTGTAGTTATTGTATAAATATAATGTTATCCCAAGTTATCTGGAGATAATGAAGATCTTTTTAAATTCAATATCAAACTAGCAACAGATAAAGTACATTCACTTGTGGTGCTGGTAGACGCAAAGTATTTCCTTAGCAAATATTGATAAATCGAGTGATTATATCCCTTTGCATTTCCAAAATGCTAGCACATCAGTTTCAACTTGAGTTTACTAGTATATATTAATTTATTATAAATATTTTAATACAAGTTTTTGTGTTTTATTTAAAGTTATTTATGAGCTCACCGCATCTAATAGTCGGCGTCGGGCTATATTATATATCCCTCTAATAATGTGACTTTGTAATATATATATATTTATACTTGGTAAAAAGATTAAAATTATATCAAAAAGGGGTATAATGTCATATATAAATCATAAGAAATAATTCAAAAATAAATGAAATCAATGATAATTTTGAATAAAAATCATGATGTAAATCTATTTTGTATTTTATTTAATTATTGTTTTTTTCCGAAATAATACAATTTGTTTTACTATATTTGGCATGTAGGTTTTAATTAATCGCTACGTTTTATATTTTATAAATGACTGCATGTTGTCTTAATCATGATTGTTTTACTATAATAAACTCCTATAAAAATCATTTTAATATTGGTATAATTTAAATATAATTTAAAGAGTTAAATAATTTTTCTAATATTGATAATTTAGATGCAGATTTAAACATTAATTTTATTTTTAGTTATAAGTTTAATTTTAAAGTAACGAGAAGAAACATTGTTAACATTTAAAAATTATAAATTATATACTCAGAATTATCAAAATTATTTTATAAATAGGCAAATATTGATAATTATAACATAAAATATCTTAACAATGGCGTATTCATATTCCACAGATAAACCGATGTTTAATAACTGGATGTATAATTAATAACTTTGGAGTTATTTATTTACCAGGCATATTTTTATTCTATTATAAAATTTGATTTAAATAATTATGATATAATTAAATGAGTTGATTTTATTTATTTTTTATAAAATGATTTTTGCCAACCCTGATTTTTTTTCAAACAAAAATTAATTTTTAATTTCTAATATTTCTGACAATTCTTAATAACCATTCTAGGGATTAAAAATACAGAGAGAAAAGCTGCAGGATTAGGAGGGGTACGAAATAATTAATAGTTTAGAGAGGACAAGTTATTTTTAAAAACCGGATTTCAATCTTTAATATCCGGCAGCGATTTGGTACCGGAGGCAATATCCGATATTATTTTTGTAAAATATTTATTACTAACATTATACCACACAATACAATGAATCACTGAGCCGCGTAAGAGCAGGTTTTAGTTAAAAATATATAATAAGCATTTATTATAGGATTTTGCGGGAATTTACTTAATGGTTCAAGATAAAGATAGTGATCACCTTTGGAAGTTTTAGATTACAAAATAAAGGATAATAATAGAAAATTCAAGAATGTCATGAAAATTTTTGTAACTAATTGTAGATATTGTTGTAGATGTAATTATTTATTATTTTATATTCAACTAGATCAAGCAAACGTTACCATTCGAATCTATTTCCTCTTCGTTATCCCGAAAAAAGCAACGGGTGGCCACCCATTTTACCCCTGAACCATCTACAGTACCCCTTGTTTCCCCTGCCAAAAATAATAATAAAAGTCTTCACGAGCCTGATCAGTCTCGAATCCCTCAGTCGCCAACGCAACATTTAGACCATGCTGTCATCGAGAGACTGGCCCAATGTTTGAAGGAAAGGATAATCAATATTCTGGACCCGAGTTACGCGGAAAACAATGGTTTGACAAGGGATGGCGTGCGGAAGAGATGCCATAATTTGGCTAAGCAAATTGAAGTTTCCGTCAAATGCAGCTCTCGAGCTCCCAGCCAATGCAAGGCCAAGCAACGGGCTTTGGAGTACAATTTGGCTGATCCCAAAAATAAGGTGATTATTTCCCTTCGTGATTAATATAAATCGGAGGTAAGTGAAGAACACATGGCAATCATGATTAAAATGGCGGCCGTTCGCATATTACGAATAAGTCAGACCATGCTAGAGCGTTTGCGAAATTGAGCGTTATAGTAATTGGAAACAAAATTAAAATTATAAATATACAAGTTACAAATTTTGCAGGGTTCTCGTTATATATATTATGTTATACCCCCAGGATGTCCGGACCCGTGCGAACGGGTAGTAGCAGCCTTTAAGGGTCGCTAAAATTACACTATTTTAAGTGCTCATAAATTATGGCTTTTATTATATTATTTAGTTATTAGAAATTTATATTTACTATAATATATTATTGCATATAAATGGTGTAAAAGAACTCGTTAATTTTCAACTTGAATATATTCTTTTTTTTGACGAACGCGTTCGTTTTTTATCCTCATTCAATATAAATGAATAATAAGCATTGTTGGGCACCGTAATATTTTACTAAACAACCAAATTTTATTAACATGCATTAAGGCAGGGTTGCCAGATCTTTTATATAAAAAGCGGGAGAATTTAATTCCAAAAATTATTTTATTTAATTCTGCCTAAGAAATGCACATAAAATATTGTAAAAATCAGTACATAAAATAAAAGGTTTTTTAGAAAATTTTATATTAGTAACTAAATTGTTAATTTTTGTTTTAAGATTAAAGTTCTGTACAAGCATATGTTAAATATCATTCGATTTCTTTATGTCCGATGATATTTTTGGGAAGTTTACTTAAAACTCCTGCCTCTTTATCAATAGCTTAGTATATTGTGAATGTTTTGATATTTCCTTTATTTGAGGCATACATTAATAAAGAAAATGGAATATTTTCTTTCAAATCCTTTAAAATGTATCTCTTAGTTGCAGGACCTATAATATTCAAAACTATTTTTTCTTCTACATTTTATGTTTTTGGCTATTTTTGAATTAGGAAAGAGAATAGACAATAAGTATGCAGTGCAATCTGTAAATATATAACTAGGCCATTTTATCGTGTGATAGGTGCATGTCGTTTCAGATGTTAAATTTACAATATTATTATCACTTAAGTTATTGTTTTTAAAGTATGGTATAATTCCTTATTTTTTAAATTGGAGATATTATTTGTCACTCCATAGCTGATGTAAAATTATGTAATGTATATTATACAAATTGCATTAAAACTATATTGTTTATAGTGGAATTCTAGGTATTAGTAGTGTTTTTAAAAGCTACCAAACGTTATTAGTTACATTCTTAAAAATCTAACTAGTTATTAGATACATTACAGTTATATTTCAAAGGTAACGAGTTGAATTATAAGTTATATATCTTTTATATAACGCATCATTTTTTTTTATTTTTATAATTTATGATGAAAAAGAGAATAGATATATTTACACCGAAATAAAATAGCATAATATCATTGCACTGATTATTTTTTCTAAAAATTGGGATTTAATGAATTTTCTAAAAGACGCGCGCGTTTCTCTTCATAAATAGGATCTCTAAACTAAATGAACTTTCTACAGGAGCACTTGGTATAAGGGCAACATTATATTTAACAAAAAGCTGGGAAATCCTCATATAAGAAGATGTATTATTATTGGATTTATAAATTTTCTTAATATGTTCATTAGCAACAATAAAATTTTACCCCATCTTGATATACGCTACATGGTCGTTAACATTAATCTCATTTTTAATAAGTTCAGATTATTGCCCAGATTTATTTTGTAAACGTTGGCATTTTGACATGGAAATGTTATATGCTTTTTTTATAATCATCATTCTCTAAAAAGATTTTGGTGACATCAAGTTAAATGCATGGAAATAATATTTTTCTCTGCTTGAGAAGGTAATCAAAGTTATTTAAATCACAATTAGTTAACCCAGAATCAAAATTGAGCTCTAATAATTTTTCTTTTATAATATCTTTTTTTTGAATAATACATTTAGATATTTTTGAATTTAAGGTTTGTCCACATATTATTAAAATCTTTTATCATCATAGGAAATTAATCTTTCTTTGGCTTAATTTATTTGATGTTTCTGAATTATTTTTCTTATTATTTAGTTTCCTTTATTTTTAAGGATTGGTTAAGATATAATATCTTCTCTAAAAATAGATATTTTTATATAAGAATACTTAATTTATATTAAAAAGTTGGTTTAATTAATAAATCTATATGTTATTAAGAAAAAAATATCTAGTTGCATATGTATCTATAACTAAAACTTAGTACATTTAAGAAAAATTTATAACGGTTCGTTCCTATTTTTATAAATTCGATTTTTTAATAAAATAAATCATATATATATATTTATAAATCTTAGAGAAAAATCTTTCTAATTTTTATTTTTATAATTCCATATTTAATTTAACAATGAAGATTATTTCTTATCTAATTAAATAGTAATTTGTCTAACTATTAAATAAATTGAGTATAAAGTAAAAACAATTAAACTGGTAATCAGAGACCTGCAAAAGTATCATTTGCACAGCCCAGCCGATTTTTTTTTTAAATTTTATTAGGCCCGGTCCGGGTATATTTTTTTTTTTAAAAATGGAATTTAATTGCAAGGATATTTTAATTTGAAAAGAAATCACAAATTTAAATTGCCCCTAAGTAAAATTAAAATTTGAAATTTAGGTTCGCTCTTTTTATATTTTATTAATAACGGTTACGGTTTATAAAATTATAACGATTCGGTTCGAAGCCCTGATTTTAAACAATATTAAAAAAGCTTCTTCTAATATCATTTTATATAAATCAGATCGGATATTATATAAAATACTTATTTCACATTCACATTTATTTTCAGAATTAAAAGAATGGCAGTACAAGTTTCTAGTTAGACTAATTATTTCAAGTATTTTATATTTTAAAATTTTATACTAGTGAAGGTCTACATTTATTTTCTAAAAAATCAGAAGCTGGCGTAAATAAGAGTAAAAAATCAGGCTTACGCCAAAACGAATAACCCTGATTAAGACCCATTTTAAATATATTTTTAAAATAATACTTAGTCCAAATCATGCCCTGGATTTGTATCTATTTATTCATTCCCCATAGCTAAGAAATACTTTAGTTAGTAACACACTCCCATCTCCGAACTAGAGGCTTGCAATGGGCGAGTTTTTAACCCGACCCATCATTCACAGCTATCGCTCCGAGATGAAGAATTCAAAAATACAGCAGATATACTTCGTAGCGAATTCACGCCAACAATAATTCAGGATATTACTATAATAAAATCTTTATTCGTTAAATATAGCACGACAATCACATTTTCAACTCACGTTGCGTTTATAGTATAACTAATTCTGTTATAACTATGAAAATCTTCCGTATTAGGCAAAAACTTTTAACGATTATTAAACATTTATATATATTTTTTTTAAATATTATAATTTGCATTTTATATTTTTGTACACTATATTATACGAAATAAAAATATTTAATCTAACGACTAACATTAATTTATATTAGGCTGTGTCCTAAATCTGATTTAAAAATTCGCAAATATAAGAAAGCCTTCGGAAGTTTTTAAAAATTTTAATCAAATCGTATGTTGAAATTTATAAAATTTTCTAGAATTATGTTTAGGACATGTTTTTATATTTAGATTATAGATTACCTATTTTTTTTTTCGTTAAAAGTTATGAAAGTTTTCAAATTTAATTTTTAATATTTAGCCTTAAATGCATTTAAAAAAATATATTATTATAGATTTGAACGAACGAATTCCTACTTTTTTTAAATGAACGTTGACCGAAAACCTATTTGATTTTTGTTAATGAAAACGAAAAGCAAATTTGTTTTTTTTAAATAAAAAATATTTACAAGCTCTACAAACAAATATTACCCATTGTACATTCCGTACTGCTTGGTTATGAATCCTATTTTGAAAAGGCGGGGTTGTTATAATTTTTTTAAAGCATGGCGCATAATAATTTGATAAAAAATATTTTAAAAATGAAAATCACAAAAATTTTAAAAAAATTGAGTTATTATAAAAATAGAAATAATAACTAGTAAAGTGATAGTAGACAGACGATAAAAATTCGAATCCAAATGATTTTATCAACGATGTTTTGAAACGCTTGATTTTTGGCTTGATATCTATTTACCAATATCTCATATAGTCATAGATGTCACGTGTTTCTTTATTTTTCCCTCTTGCCGACTCTGATAATTAAAAATATTTAAATATATATAAATCTTCCAAAAATTTTGGATTTAAGCATTTAATAAGCATGAAATATTTAATTATTGAATTAAGATTTTCTTCAAAGTGTTATCTGGTGAGATATCACCCGCCGACTTAGTTAAAATGACCCAAGAAGAAATATCCGTTTACCGAGCCGCTTCCTACTCCGTCACACCCAATAAACTTTTACATATTCTAAGCTCTTCTTCCAGGCACAATCGAAAAGTAAAAAAAAGATAAAATTTTACGCTATTAGGTCTCATTTATAGTAAACGCGTTTTGTTCAAGCGGTACAGTTTTTAACGCTGTCGAGATCACATTCTTTACAGCAATAATAATGTTTGAAATAAACGTTTCAACATATATTTTTTAAATTTTATTATAACCTTTTCATCGTTTTGCTTCATATTTATAAATTATACCTATTTATTGGCTTGATTTTGTAAAAAACGCAGCATTAAATACCACACCGCTTAACGATACGCTTTTATTATAAATGAGCGTTGTGCTGAATTTATAGTAAAGCATTGTGTTAAAGCGTTCCGTTATTTAACGCTATCGAAGTCACAGCTGATTCTTTAGCGTTATTATTTTTGAAAGAGATAAATTTTTATATAATACTTCAGAATATCATATACCTTTTTTTAAAATCTAATTCGCTATTATTTTTATAATCTATCGCATATTTTTTGTCATCCGCACCGCTTGAACATAACGCATTTACTCTAAATTCGCCCTTTATCCCTTATTTTAACAGTGGTTTATTTTTTTAGTTATATATTAAATCTTATTTTTTAAAATTATCATTTTTGGGCAAGTTTAATTCTTATATTACTTATTATTTTTAAATCTTGGCTGATAATATTTCAACTATGTCAAGATACTAGTATGACTGATATTTTAAATCTTTATACACGCTCTAAAAATGCCATTTTATAAAACACTATCAAATTAACTGTTATTATTTTTCTTTTAATTAGATTTTGGGTTAGATGCTTAATATTTTTATTTGCCTTTACTTGTACTTACAAAAGTATTGTATATCGCCCTAAATCTAAATCGTACTAAAGGAAGTAAGTATATAGGGTGTAATGCAAAGGATTATAAGTTAACTCTACCGACGTGTTATATCATCTACCTAAACTTGTTGGTTATTGTTTCTTTTCTGCCCCAAATCCCTCGTATGTATTATAATTTAGAAATAATATCTGAGGCTAAATATAACCATATATATACTCACAAAGTCATTATTTTGGTATTTAATAGACTTTTTGATCTTAATAAAATTTTGCATACTCGAATTCAAAGTTTTATCTACTACTAATAGTTCCATCATAAGTATCAATGATCAATAATGACACTTTTTGAAAATTACAATTTAAAAAAATTTAGATAAGTTAAAATAAATAATGATGCTAAAAATAAAAGAAGTATTTTACAGCTCTACTAAAAAAAATTTAGATTTTTAAATGTAATAATGGTATTTAAAAAAAATTTAAAATTAAAAATAGACATGGGTTTTTAAGTTGTTGCGTTTATTTTTTCAAAATAAAATAATATCTTTCTAAATAATATAGATGGCGCTCTCCTATAGGATAACTCATTTTTGTTAAAACTATTTTTATTTTTTACATTTTTAAAACATAAAAATCAAGATTTGCTAGCATCAATATCTGGAAATGATATAGCTGCAATTTATATAATCTTTTACTTTAAGGTAAATTAAAAAAATTATGAAAAATAGTTATACCCGTTTTAGGGTTTTCATTAGGTGTTTTTTAAGGCCTTGATCATTTCGTCTGGCGATAAATTAAAGGCACATCTAGTCGTCGATATTTGGGATAAATGATTACCAAAATATAATATTTTAACAATAGTACCTATCAACGATGATGGACGTACCTATCAAGATGAAAATTATCGAGGCGTCCAAAAAACTTAATTCAATGAAAAGCCAAAAATAGATGATATTTTTAATAATTTTTAATTTATATCTAAATTAAATAATTTATCGAAAAATTAATTTTTTTAAAAAAAAATTATATAATTATTTCTAAATAATCTCATTTCATGATATTAATAGTGGACAAATCTTGTTCATGATGTTATAAATTGAAATTTTTTTTATAAAACTATTTTTTTTAAAGCAAAAAATTCACAATAATAAAAAAACAATGGCTGACCCAATTTGAACATTTTTTTACAAATAAATTTTAATATAAATGAATAATAAAATATTAAATTTAAAGAAATTCAGATGAAACAAATGGAACTTCATGTTTAAAATTTATAACTAAATAAAAACTACCATAAAAAAATCTTTAATAATTTAATAGAGCTACAAAATAACAGCTAATTTTTAGCATCATTATTTTTTAATATTTAAATTGTATTTTTCAAAAGGGTCATAGCATTTTTCACCACTAGTATCTCAGAAACTAGAAATATACTAGGAGGCTAAAACTTTAGATTCGATAATTAAAAACTTGGGGCTATAAAGTTATCTATTTGATTAGGAATTACTCTTATAATTTATTTTAATTGGTAGGTCTTTCATAGTTCCGTTTTAACCACATTATTTAGGAAAATTTTAAAATTCCTCACCTCACAAAGTTCCCTTCATCGCGCAAACCACAATCAGCGAGCGATGCAAATCTACCGCCGTCATCTACGTCTACCACATTACTTAGCCTAATTCACCCTGCCTATTTTACCGGCACTCTAATATCATCTACTCCTACAAAAGATAATAAAAATTACTCATTGTCGTATCATACCTCTTCATCTACCTTTAAAAAATCGGATGAAAACAACAGCTTTATCAACGGTGTTGTTACTGGTAGTACTAATATAATAAAAACTAATTACCTAACACATAAGGAGGAGCAAGCATCTATAGTAGCCGATAGGTATTGGTTATAGTTATAAATCTTCTATTATATACCATATATTAGTTAACATTACACAAATTAGTATGTCCTGAGATATTTTTTTTATTATAGCCCTTATTATACCCAGGTTCATAGTTTAGATTTTTGGAATATTTTAAGTTGTGTTAACAATATTTGAAGCACTCTCTTTATCCTAATAGAATATTAATGTTTTGCAGTTTTTTAATTGTTATTTTTTTTAAAAAAATATGTTGTATATATATTTCTGTTCTTTTAGAATCTTTTGATTTTTAAATTGAATAAATAAATATAATTAATCCATTTGAAACTTAATTTTAATCTAATCTATTTCTGATTACTCTTGTTTTTATTAGTCGTAGATTAGCAGATCCTCGCCTCAAAAAAATTATTAATCCCCAACACCCTTTACCCAAGTCTAGCACTAACTACACAAACGCTAGAAATTTAAACCAATCCTTCGTCACTAAAAATCCGAATTCTTCTAAAGATTTAAACCAATCCCCTAGCACTAAAATTTTGAATTCCTCTAGAAATTTAAATCAATCCTCTGCCGATAGAAACTTGAATTCCTTTAGAAATTTAAGCCAATCCTTCCCTACCAACCCCTCGAATTCGACTATAAATTCAAACCTACCACCAATCTTCAAGGCAAGACCACCTGACCCCGAACCTGTGAATATTAATGGCACATTATTCTTTCCCGATTTGAGTAACACTGGTTTTCCTAATCGTATATCGCGCGTATCGGTAACCCATTTGAAAACGGGGGGCGAAATCTTAACACTCGAACTACTGAGCAGTTTGTTTGATGGCGAAATCGAAAACCTTGAAGGGAAAGGGGAAAATAAGGTTATAGGGTCCGATGCTGAAGATAAAGAAAAAAAGAAAGAAAGAGAAAGAGTGTCCATAAATTTAGGGACGATAATGGCTGATATTGCATGGGATAGATCTAAAGATCACCTCAGGGCAGCGGATAAGAGATCGGGCGACACTCCACGGGTAATTTAATATCTTTATATCTTACTTAATTATGGTTAGGGATTAAAAAAACTATTTTTTCAGGAAAGAAAACAAACGATAAAGCATACGTTATGTTTTTTTAAAAAATTTTCATTAATGCTACAATCCTTATGGGAAATATATTCCTTTACTTGCAAATTTTTTATTATTACAATCATATATATCTACCAATTTTTTTGATTCTTTGTAATTATCATAATTTTATAATTTACTCATTTTCTATTGATTTTTTTCATTTTTATCTTTGAAAAATAATTTTTTTTTACACCCTTATAGTATTTTGTCTTATGTTAAGAATATTTTATGACAGTTTGAGCAAATTAGTAGTATAAATTATATTCTCAAAAGTTAGCTAGTTTATTTTTTTTTAGAGTAATGAATTACCGTTAAATTTTAAAAGTAACTAGTTAAATAGCAATATACTTTAGAAATTATTTATAATTAATCATTTTTAATAAATTTTTTTAAATACTATGCAAAATTTTGCTATAAATTTTAATCAAAATACAATTTAAATATAGAAATAATCACACCAAAAAAATACTTGTAATACTTATTTTTCAAGAAAATTAAGCTTAATAAATTTTTATTTGACTTTAATTGTAAACTATTTTCATAACTCATGTCTAAAAGCATGCTAGTTTTCTCCGATAATAAGCTTCCTGAACTAAACAAAAGTTCTACCGCTTGATGTAAAAGAAACATAATAGATTTAAGAAATCATCGTATAAGGATATATATTAAACATTATATTTTAAAAACTAATATTAAACACTATAAAATTATAAATACAATTACAGAATTGTGTTCTCAAAAAGGAACCATAATTATACCAAAATTTGTATCTGAATCTTTTGATGCATATATAAAAATTCTTTGACTTTGTTTGTAAAAAGTCGGATTTTTGTGCTTAGATTTTTTAAAAACTTATAATGGTGAAAAATGGTCGTTTGTGGAAGTTACTATTGGAGTAAATATAAAGTTTTCAAGATTTTTATATTCTTAAAGTCAAGGGCAACACCAGCTCCACACAGCAATAAACCATGTAATAAATCGAGTTTTAACAGCCGCCCACATTCCGAACTACCTAAGCCAGTAAATTTATCCCGAGTAGATAACTGATGGTATGATAGCCATTCCTTGGACCCTCGGAAAATCACTAATATGGGACTACATATGCGTCTCTTCATTCCCCTCTAACATAAATATCAATCCACAAACACTAGAAACAAAAAAATTTTAACAACTTCCTATTTACTCCAATAGTGACTTCCACAAACGACCATTTTTCGCCATTAACCTACATACGTTTTTAAAAAATCTCGGCAAAAGAATTTTTATACATGCATCAAAAAATTTCATAGAAATTTGAAATTTTTGATATAATTATGGTTCCTATTTGGGAACAAAATTCATAAATTCTATTTTTAATTTTATAGTGTTTTAATATATTTTAGCAAATTCTAATTATATTTATTAGCTATATTTTTTAAAAAATAATTAGAATTGCAAAAATGTATCTAATTTATTTTAAGAACACTACAAATTCGTACTATCTCAATTTTGATGAATAATTCATATCAGGCAAATTAAAGATTTATTGCGTTGTATGATAATTATCATAAACATTTTTTTTTAATTTAAAAAAACAAATTATATACATTTTTTAAAAATAATAATACTTTTCCTCTCTTAGATTGAAATGGACATTTTACAAATTAACCCATTACCAAACCTACTCCATCAAATCTCTTCCAACGAGTACCTTGACATTTCCCATTTCCGACAAATGATTACCAATCTCAACCAAACTAAATGTTGCTTGAGTTTGAGTAGCGATAATTTAACCGTTTGCAACACCAAAATTTGGTCTCGATTTAGAACGGTTCTTAAGGATTTTTTTGTGATACCCTTCAACAAAGAAACCGATATTATACACCCTTTGCTGCAGTTTAGATACGCGAATCTTATCGAAAGGAGTAATAAATTTGTATTTTTAATTAAAAAATATTTTTATTGCTTTGGAAAAATAAAACATTATTCATTTTGACCTTGAATTCATATTTTGGGGTCAGACAATGTTTATTAACACTTTTAAATATAACCATTCCCCATATTTGGCGGCCCTTTTAATCTTAACCATAATATCTCTTACATCATCCTAAAAATTTAATTAAACTTGCCACTTTGCGAAAAATTCACAAAGATTTAAACTATTATTTGATTCAATGAAATAAATTATTAATTTATATTATAACAGAGCATAGTAGAATATATAAATAACAATTTATACTTAACGTGCATGTAGTTTACCTAGGCATTAGGTTAGTCAAACTGATTTATAGCGAATAAATTTACAAGAAACTTTTTAAATATTTCATCCTACAAAATTATATATCAAATCAGTATTAAATGATCATTTAAATGGTTGGGCTCATTGATTTCATGACTTAATTTTAAAAATTATAATCTTTTTAATGCCTTTAAATCGCGCTATAATAAATATTTTTAACCTTGTTTGCTTTTGAATTACTTATGATTATCATACACTGCTGTTTTGGACACTTTTTTTAAATCTCTTTGAAACAAATAATTCAACAATATTTATAACGTACCATTTGAACATGTATTAATAAAAAATTACAAGTAAAATTTGATGGTAATGCTGAATATCCTTGTACTCTCCTTGGTATTTTAGTAACCCAAACAGTAGATCCTCTTCCCGAAATAGAAAAAGCTTATGAACCTATAGATTCAGGTAGCTACAACAAAATTTATAAATTAGGGATAAAAATTTTCAATTCTTTTTTTTTTAATTTATGAATTAAATTTAACCCATTTTTGATTTATTATATATGTTGTAAATAAGAAAAATGATCCCACTTTTTAAAAAAATCATAAATTTCAATTAATATATTCTAAATCAGAGACCTACGGAGGTGGTAATTTTAGAGGCTCGGATTTGAATATTTAATATTTTCATGCTCGATACAGGATGTATTTTTAACGGCCCAGAATTTATAAAATTTCCTTATTTTTGAATAGTTTTGGCTTTTTTGCAAATTTTTTCAAAGAGACATTAAAGTATGAGCAGTAAATGAATATTAAACCCTTCCATTATAAGGTTTTCCCATCGATTAATTGATATATTAAAAAAATTAAATCGTATCGTTTTTTGGCCCATTGAGGACCTGGCCTGCAGGTCTCTGAACAGAAATAAAATATAAATTTTTTAGTTTTTATGCATAAAATTCTATTTAATTAGAAATATTTTCAGTAGGCTTCTTAATATATCTATCAGAGACCTGGGTACACGGGCCGGGTCATATTTTAACTTTTTAATATACTGGCCAGGCCTATTTTTTTTTAATAAATTTTTTGAAAAACAAATCCGAGCTGTACTGCAGGTCTCTCATATCTATTAATGGCTACTATAAAAGATATTTTAGTAAAAATAAAAATAGCAGCAAGGGAAAATTAAAAATTAAATTAATAAATTTTTCAGATCTTGAAGAAAAGAAGTCGTTCCACATATCGGAACGCTCTGTAAAAATGGGTTAATATTTAATTAATCTAATAATAAATTGTAGCTTTTTAGTGTATAAATTTCTATAAAATTAAACTTCCATTTTTATACTTTATAAACTACTAATTATAATATATGGCTAATAAAAACTTTCTATATAATTCATTTTACTAAGATTCACTACAAAATATAGCTTTACCTCCACCAATGCCTAATTTACCAACTTCTCATATATCTTCCAAAAAGCATGGCTGTAAGCCTGCTCAGACCCCCTGTGAATCAGGCTATATAACAGGGAAAATAGATAAAGTGGAATTGATGGTGGACAATTCATCTCTCAAAGAAGTATTCCATTTTTTAGAAGACTTACCACACGGAGACGTTGATTATCGCTATTTAGATAGAATAAAACCTTCCGACATCCGGGCAAAAAAAACACTGCCGCCTAAGAAGCGCGAAGATCAACAACTTGTTAAGGAACAACCATTAGAATCAAAGTTGGTCTATAAATCAATGCCAATAATATTTTTTGAATGTCGATGGCTTAATTTCCTCTATCAAAAATTAGTCTAATTTAATTTTAGACATTTATTTTATTTGAAATTTATTGTTCACAATTATATCTTAAAATAATCATAATAAAGTATTTATTGGTTTAAAATAAGTATATCGCATACATAATCTATTCATTAGTTTTAAAAATAAATTGTGTTGTAGAAATGATATGGCTATTTTAGCCTTAATGCACAATAACGAAATTAGCCATACCAATATCAATACCTAGATTATAATAAATCATGCCTATTTTTATAACTAATTAATTTTTTCAAAGCAAGAAATAACAATACACCTTATTTATCGGGGCTGGGTCTGGTATTGGATTGGATATTATAAGGAATATTTAATAAATCTCTTACACGAATGTAAATTTAATTCAATAAAAATATATTCAAATTTATTGGTATATCCTCAACATTAGAATAAATATAATTAATTGAGAGTATTCAATATTTTATTTATCTTAGAATGATTTTTTTGTGTTTTAACTATTTTTTTCTTCACAATGTTAAATTTTTTTTGGGTAAATCTTAATTTTTTTAAAAATACTTTAATATATAAGAACCGGTCAATATCGGGTTATTTTAAAAAAACCCAACCGGATATGATAAAAAATGCATCCCTATATGCTTCCAATCACCGTATATTATTGCTTTGCATTTTTAAAATAAGTATTTTTATCAACGATTTAATGCCACCTAATATTATATCGTTTTGGGGAAAATGACTTGTTTGCAAAGGTAAGATATTGATTAAAGTGCAGCATTTATTATATTTACCAGCTAGCGATAACGGAACTATTATATAATTTGAATATATTAAGTCCTAAAAAAATTTACTAGTTAGAACTAATTTTTAATTTTATGACATCTATTTGATAGTTATGCTAAGGAGAAATTGGTAAGCCATAGTTTTATAAAAATCGACGGATTATATCCAAATCTAATAATATATATTTCTTTTAATCAAATTAAGAAATACGAAAAAAACTCAAGAAAAAGTTGCTGATGTGCCTAAAAATGTGGTCACGAGTAAAAAATAAATATTAATAAACTTTTTATGTATATAACATTTAAACATTTTAAGGGTCAATAATTTTGTCAATTTGTTAATAATATTTATCAATAATATTATAATAAGAAACTCTGGAAGATAATGGCGTTCCCAATTTTGATGAACTACTATTCAAAGTTGCCATTAGCTTAAAAACTATTGAAGAAAAGGAATTAGAAACTCAGAATAAACCCAAGGTATGGATAACAATACCTCTATTTATATTATATAATATATTACCTTATATTTAGATTGAAGATGAAAAATTAATTAAAACCACCGAGATTAGTACGCTACCAACGCCATTGCAGAATATTATAAGCTTGCTACAACCTCAAAATAAAACCGTTTTACCTTAATTATTTGATAAATAGTTTAATTACAATATGATATTTTTGTACAGAATGTTTTTTTAATTAAATATTTTGTATTATAATTATATATTATATCGTAATTTTAAAAAAAATTATTTTTCTTTATCGAATACAATTATATATATATATATAAAGTGTCTAATATACTTTTAATTTTATATTTAATGGAGTCAATTAGGATATTTTTTTTTCTTTCAATGCATATCACTAAATAAATGCCCTGGAGGATGACTATGTAACGTTTTTAAAAAAAATTGACGAGGTAATCACGTTGCTTTAGAATTTTTTGTAAATGGTTCCATAGATCTTATGAAGGAAAGATCTGGCAAGGCTTTGATGAAATTAGACACGATGGTAGAATTTTTCGCTTTCGCATCAACTGATATATATAAAAATTTATTGTAGTATTTATTATTTATATTAAATGAAAATTATTTAGAAATTAAGAAACTTGTTGATTCCCCATTTTTCATGGGTTTAAAATATTTCACGTCAGGACGTCATAAGTAGGGGAGAAAGAATGTTTAAATTAAAACGTAAACCTTAAAATTTAATATTTTGAGATGCCTATTTATTACTCGGGCTCGGGTCAGGCTCCGAGAATTGAATATTAGAATCTTGTTTAAGTGAAATGCCAGTCAGAATGCTATTTTTAATCATATACATGTTATTCATTTACGTCCAAATAAACGATTTCCTACATTTACATTTTTAAAACTATTATTTATATCGTATTCTATTCAGTTTAAAATATCATATATTCTACTTTTAATCAAGAATAAAATTTAGAATATTAAAATAGTTATGTTGTTACTTGTTTTATCTATGATCTATTCAATTAAATAGCCACAGATTTTTTATATCTTTATAATTGTTTATAGAATGGATCCAAATTCTAAAATAATTTTAATTGGGTCGGGTTGGAATAAAAAATTGTGCTCGAGTTGGGCTCAAACAGTGGAATTTTTTAAAGTCGGGCTCGATCGTGGCAGGGCTCCTGAGACGGTTTGAAGATATAATCTTAAGATGCCGATATTTTTTTAATTAACATATATTACTTTCATTAAAACGCGTTCCGACATTATTTTGAGAATGGGAATGAGAAACCTAATGGTATATAAAATAATAGGTTTTTTTAAATAAACGGGAAAATATAATGAAATAATTACGTTGTTACTGTCAACATTTTTTGGTTTGTAATTATTCTTGAATATGGGATTTGATTGCGAGAGAGGTTCGATTGATTGCACTTGATCCTTACGATTTGGTAAATCAATCTTCCATTAATAAAAAATTTTTAAAGTAAAAATGTATTAAGATTAGTTTGGAACCAAAACCGTGACAAATTTAGGAATAAGTTCCATTATTAGGCACTGGAGCCAGAATTCATTTTTAGTCCAGGCAAATCACTTTTTTTAGATGATAACCCCCAAAACTTTGAAGGTTTATATAGGTCAGATTTAAACAGTAGCAAATATGAGTTCAGGCTTAGATAAGAATAACGAATCATGGTTAGGTTCCTGAAAAATAATCCCTTAAACCCCAGTACAAACTTTCCTATATATGTGTATTAGAATTATGTAAAAGAAAAGCATAATTTTTATCGATATTCTCAAAAAACATAGTGGTATACAATTAAAATATTTTCAAGATTCTTTTTTGTCAAATTATATCTAAGATGAAGAACAAATTTTAAGGCTGTAAACACTTCTATTTGCTTACTTGGGTACTATCAAATATATAAAAAGATCTAATCTTTAAAAAGAAAATATTAAAAGGTTCAAACCGGATATAAAGACCTTTTTAGAGGGTTTGGAAACATTTTTAAACGGTTTAGGTTTTGTAATAATTGAGGTTAATACTGGTTGAGGTTTGGTTTGTTTCTTTTATAATAAAGCAGAGGTATCTTCTCTGTAAACTGATGTTCCCAGTTTCACTGAATTATTCGAATATCGTGTTTATTAGATTACGTTACTAGGCTAATCTCAAATTTTTTTTAATTTGAATTTAATATGGAAAGACAGCATCCTAATAGTAAAATAAAATTTCAAATATTGGTTGATCTCTGATTAACGTTTAAATGATTCGAACTAATTGTATTATAAAAATTATTAAATTTCTAAATTAAAGTACTTTTTCGAGTTGCAATGACTTGAAGAGACATTTTGCAATTGTCCACTGTGACCACGGTCGAGTAAAATCCAGGTATAAGGAATTCGGTTCTGAACAATTAGATTTATCGGTTAGGGCGTTTGAATTTATGATTTTATTGATGCGTTGACTCAAGTGTAGTGAACTTTTGAATGAACATAAGATCGTAAAAAAATAACTTATACACCCTCCTTTTATTACATAACATAATATCTTATAAATATGTGAAAAATCTCACTCTTTAATAGAAGACGGGAGATTGATATTTATGTCGTTAAGTAAGTCTTCCAGTACCAAATCATTAGAAGGACATATACTATCAGTTTTGTTGAAAAGTTGTTTAGGAAATGTTGCTTGAATTATTTTATCAATATCAAACTATTTTTTGATTTATTTTAAAATAAAAAAATTGTTTTATACCACATAGATGAATATTTATCTAACCTTGCTAAATATAGAACCCAAGTGCATATCTGTTAATTAAATGCCTAGTCTAAGTGCAATCAAGCAAAATAAATAAATTCCCAAAGTCTTTTAAAGGTTACATTAACAAAGATCAATAAATTTAAAGCTACATTATTTTAAAATACCTCATATTATCCATATCAAAATTAGGAAAGTAATCTAAACCAACTGAGAGCTCTTCATTCAAGACTCAAGCTCCCACCATGACTCCCCCAATTTTATTGAGAATTTAAAAAATAATTAAAAAAGAGAGCAGAGGAAGAGACCAGAAAATATAGTAAAAACCACATATAAAATTAGACTCAGTCTTAAAAATAAGAATAGAAAATGTGAATGAATTAATTTAAATAAAAAAATATATTTAAAAAATAATAATAAATTTATTATTTAAAATTGGTTAATATTAGAACTAACTATCGATGTAATAAATATTTTGGAATCAGCTTATCTAGTTCATAATGGATTTAAAATTATATTATTTTAAGATTTGCCTAATTTAAAAATTATAGTATACATATATATATATGTGTGTGGTGTTATGTTATTGAATAATAAAATTGACCAATTTTAAACCATTAGGCATTAAAAAAAGATTATATATTTAAAGTTATATGATGACCTAAATATTAAAAATAATTATATATTTAATTTACATTATCTTCCAAATAATCCTGTGATATCACAGCACAAGGATTAGCATCTTCATTTTTATAAGATTCTAATTTTGAATTATTAGATTCAACCCCAGCAAAACAAATATTCGATTCATATAATACATTTGATATAATACTTCCAGGATTTTTTTGCTTATTATCCAAATCATTATCATTTTTAATTATTATTGAATTATCAAAAGTAGCAAATTGAAATTCTTCAAAATCATCTTCATTTTCTGATCCTTCATCATTATTAGAATAATCTAAGAAATTTTTATAGTTAGACTGGAATGTCAAATTTTTAGTTGGTGAGTTATCAGAAATATTAAAATGATTTTGAATAAAAGTATCCTTTGAGACATTGTTTGAATTTTTAGTCTTATCCAAACACTCATTTGCAATATTAGAATCTTTTGAATATTCTTCATATTTACAATTATCATTAATATCAGACATCATAAAGACAGTCATAAGTTATCATGTTATTTATATTCATAAATTAATTTGATTGTGATACCTATATTTAAAAATTGAATTTTTAAATAATTTGAGAATTTTAAAATATTATAAGTTATTATTAGAAAAAAACAATTTTGAAAATATCATTAATATACTTATTAATTTTAAAACAATTGGAACATATATCATGTAAAAAAAATAACTTTTATATCAATTTATTTTAACCTACCTTAAAAAAGAAATGTAGGTAAGTTCATAATATGAATGTGTGGGAATTGATCCACATGATATAGTCAGTCTTTAGGCGGAAAAGGTGCAATGCCGGCAAACCTGCTTATTGCCTAAACATACTTTTTAACATGCATTTCTAATATATTTTTAATTTATTTTTCCTCCGTATAGTATAAACTAACCCGATAAGCAAAATTAATATTAACCCTTAAGCAATTATTAACTATTAACATGCATTAAATTACCCTTTCCAGGCTCTCATGGTTTGTTATGATTTGTGATTAAATATATTTGATAATTAATTTTTAATTTGTTTTTATATTTCAATTTTTATTCAATTTTATCGCGGTTCCTTTTCAATTGGTATTTATAATTTTTTTATATCTCAATTTTTATTTACTTTCTTAAATATATATATAATTTTTCCCTTTATTAAAAAAAATTTAAAAAATTAATTAAAATTTTCATAAGAAAAATCTTTACGTTAGTTAAGGACAATAAATATAAAAGGCTAATCATGGATAAAATTAAGATTATGCAAATTTATTATTAAATAACTTTTATATATTAAATCTTTTATTTAATTTGTGACCATACAACTTAGGCATTGATTATGACCAATTTAATTATTTACATATATCTTTATTACATGGCACTATATTTGCCAACAATAGAAGGTATTATGGGAATTAGTTTTTTATACGAATTTTTCTATTTTGATATTTTTTCGAAATCGTCAGAAATATCGATTTGAAATTCTTAGAATTCTCGTTAACCTTAATGCATTTCTGGAAGCAAAAATATAATAATTTGAGTTAGCACTAATTTCAGATTAAAAAACTAGCTAAATATGTTTGTTACCAATATATTTAAATATTAAAATGAAACAAATGGAATAGGAGAAAGAATGATTTAATTTTTTAAATTTTTCGAAAAATAATTAAACTTAGAAAACACTATAGTTAAAATATAATTAAATATTTTTCATAAAAAAATTGGCCTTTTCAAAAATAATAAACTTATTTCACCCCTTTCATATAAAATTCCTTCTAAACAACATCTATACTACTTGCTTTTTAGGTACATTTTCATTATTAAATTAAGCTCTTTTTAGAGCCTTCGATACTATTAATATATTTTTTACAAATTTTTATATAGTGGTTTTAATATTTTAGTGTTTTATCATTTTTTTAAAAAATTATACCAATATCAATATTATCAAAATAAAATTAACTTTGATTATACATAATTTAATAAAGTTTTAATAAATTTAAAAAAAATAAAATAAATAAATATATATATATAATAGGAAAATACAAATAACATCAATATAGTAATAAATTTGAAAGAAATATCTATTATTACATTCATAAATATTATAAAATAAAAACCATGCAAATATATAAAATAATTTATATACCAAATATTAATTGCATATATAAAAGTATCAGGGGCCGACTGGCCATAAAATTAAAATGGCTTTTTTTCTCACGAAACCACCAGAAAATGTCAATTTTTGAAGACGACCAGGAAAAAAATATGAAATGTGGATACATAAAATAGCTCTTAGACGGTTATATGGTGAAGAGAGTTTTATTCTGGACATTAAATGAGCTAAGGTATATAATTAATAATAAATAGTTTGATATCTGATAAGTTATATTTGGGTAGTAGCAAAATGCCGGTGAATTCGACTCAATCTAAAATCAAGAGAAAATCTATTAACATTAAGGCGTATTTATATTATCTTTCAAATTTGAGGTACTATATTTTTAAGAATTACTGGCTAAAAACTCGGTTTAGACGATTTTTATAACGGCTAAAAACTCCGTTTAGTTAAATTTTATAAACGGCTAAAAAAATATAGTAATTACCTAATTACACGATATGTAGCTAAATCTTTGATTAAGAATTTGCGAAAATTTAATGGATTAAATATGTTCTTGGGAAAAATTTTGAATTAATGTGGGAGATCTAATTTTGTCTTTAAAACAAATATTGAGATATTACATCAGCTTGGAAAATGATCCCAGTTGTTAATTTTTTTATATCTTTTATATACTTCACCACATTCAAAAGAGGCAAGAACAAATATAAATAATAAACAAAGAAGGGTCGCGAGATTAATATTTTAAAAATCTTTATGAAGTCTTAGCGTAAACGGAATTACTTCAGATTTAATGAGTAGTTCAATCAATATTGGCAGGTTTTTCTAAACTTTCATTGTTTTAATCTAAAATAAAATGATGAAATAAAATATCTTTTATATTTAAATAACATTGCTGATCTCTAAACCCGACATTAAACCTTTGTAAATTATGGGCAAATGAAGACAATTCATCTTACAAGTCACTAACTTTCTACAAAGACTTAGTGATCTGCATCGGGGATAATTTTTAAGCCCGGCCCAGCCAGGGTTGCCGTGTCTTCCCCCATCAGCGGGAGACTCTCGCAATTTTTCGTTTACACGCAGACATCTTTCTCCCTCAAAACTACCGAAATTGGAAATCTTCCGCAAAAATCGACCGCAATTTTTTAATTTCTCCCGCAATTTTTTTTTTAGTATTTTAACATTTTTAATATATAAATAATAATTTTGAGAGACATTAATTGATTATTTTTATATTTTTAAAATAATTTTAAATATTTATTCGAAAAACATGTCTATTTTGTAAATTTCTTTTTATCCTGCTTTATTTTTATCCAATAATAAATAAACATCATTTCATTCATATAAGTCAGTACAAGGGAGTATATCAACATCGATTGCAATATAAAAATATTATCAAATAATAAATATTACAGATGCAACTACATTTGCGGAAATCGTATACATCTATCATGTAGTTCAAAATTCACAGAGCTATATCATCACAATGTGGGTCGAATCTTTTTCTCATGATATTTAACGACTCCAATATAAGTGCAAACCTTATGTGGCAGAACAAAAATAAGCAAGGCTATCGCAAGTGTTTTAGTTCCTAAATCCTATAGGTCAATTCTAGACGATTTGAAAGATGGGCATCCATATGCAATTCTAACAGATGCATCTAATAAGGAAAATATTAAAACATTTCCCTCGATCCTTTGCTATTTCAACAAGAATAAGAACATTTCAATAAAACTGTTAAATATTTTTCCTCGGATAGTAAAAATTTCAACGATGTAGCTAGACACATAATGGTAAATATAGCTGATTCAATGTTATCAATGATTTGCATGCCAGCTTTCTGCGCTGATAATGCCTCTGTAAATTTTGGCAAAAACCAAAGTTACCGAATTAAGGCAGCACAATAATGAATTATTACCAATTGGCTGTATATGCCATATACTACATAATTCTTGCAAGAAGGCAATAAATTTACTATCTGTGGATGTCTAAATAATTGTGATGAAATGTTTTAACAAATTTAGTCATCAACTAAAAAATTTAATGAATTAAAAGAGTTGGTGAAGTGGTCTGACTTGGAATGGTGTGAGTTGTTGAGATATATACTTATTAAGTGGTTGTCATTAATACCTGCCATCGATAGAATTTTAAAATTTTACAAACCCTTAAATAAATACTTCTTAAATAAAGATTTTAAAAGCTGTCCTAAAATTTTGAAAAATTTTTTGTATGAACAGGCAGAAGCATATTTGGGATTCGTTTCACATGTAGGAAATCTACTTCATGCAGTTAATATTCAGTTGCAATCAGAATATTCTTTATAAAAAATACTCACAAAGTCATGCTACAGTTTTGTTCATCTTTACAGTTAAAAATTGATAATAAATTTATATTAATATGTTCAAATAATATTCTAATTAATACATTTTTAAATGAAGCAGATATTTTCATTAAGACAATTTTTGAATATTTACAATCAAAATTTGATTTTAATAACTCTATTTACAAATGTATATATATTATGACCTTGGAACAGAAACCATCAATTGATGGTTTTTATAATTTAATAAATATATTAAAAATACCGAAAGACATTGATTTCTTGTTTGAGGAGATTGTAATTCTCACTATTTTTTGTGATTAGCCAGAATACTTAAAGCTAGGTGATCTAAAAGTAGAGGAGAAATGGGTAGAATTTTTTCGTTATAACGATAAATCCCTATGCTTGGAAAAATATGCGAGTATGTCTTCTCCTTACCTCATTCTAATGCCTCATCCGAGCGCTTTTTAGCCTGATGAGGACTGCCGGGAAAAAGGAGAGAAATCGGATTGCTTTAACAACATTAGAGGCCGAGCTAATGGTTACACAAATATATAATATATCATTCCAGGAATTTTATAAATATCTCAATAACGACGGTAAACATTTAGTTCTATTATTTAAATCTCAAATAAAATATAATTAAGTTTTAGTAATGGCGCCATAAAATTTATTGTCAATTTTTAACTGTAAAGATGAACACATCTGCAGCATAATTTTGTGAATCTTTGTTAAGATTCTTCCGATTGCAACTACACATTGACAGTATGTAGTAGATTTCCTACATGTGAAGTCATTCCTAAATATACCTCTGCCATTCATTATTGTAAAAAAATTTTAAAATATTAGGACAACTTTTATAATCTTTATTTAATAAATATTTTTTTAAATTTTAAAAAATTTTAAATTCTATCGGTGGCGGGCATTAGGAACATATCGCAACCAACATATTGCTGACTCAATTCTGTAAATACACACTGTTTTTATCAAATTCACTGAGGTATTTTTAGATCAGAAAGCTGACATGCAATTTATTAATAATCTCGAATCTGCTATATTCACCATTATATGGTTAGCTATGTCTTTTGATTTTTCACTATTTGAGGGGAAAAAATTTAATAGTTTTATTGAAACGACCTTAATTTTGATGAAATAGCTGAGCTAATTAGATGCATCTGTTAGAATTGCATATGTGTGCCCATTTTTTTAATCGTCATTAATTGACCTTATAGATTTAGGTCCTAAAACATTAATGATAGCCTTGCTCATTTTTGTTCTACAAGTATAATTTTCATTTATATTAGAGTCGTTAAATATTATGGGGAAAGATTCTAACAACATTGTGACGATAAGTATCTCTGTGAATGTTTTACTACAAGATTAGTGATTACAATAGCCCTATAGTTTCATCTGTATTATTTCTTATTATGTATTTAAACGTGATACATGATAATTAAGCGCCTATCCCCATAATTATATACACTCACACACGGTAGATTTCCAATTGCGGTCGTTTTGCGGGACATTCGCATAAAATATATTTTTAATTGTAAAATTATAATCGTTTTTTTTATAAAATTTTATCTTGTTTACATTCTTTTATATTTAAAAAAGATCGTTGGTTTTTTTTTATAAATTAATATATTTATTTAAATCAAGATGTTATTTTATTTTGGACATTGTATTTATATAAACTAAATAAAAAATAATAGGAGGATAATTAAGTCAATTCAAAATCCTGCAAAATTTTTTTTTTAACAATTTTTATATTTCTACCGCAATTTTTATATTTCTCCTACATAATACCAAATTTCTCCCGCAATTTGAAAATTTTGACCTGGCAACCCTGGGCCCGGCCCGAAATTTTTTTAAAAAAGTTTTGCCGGCCCGGCACGAATTTATTTATATATAAATTAATTTTTATAATTACTCAAATAAATAAAATCAAATATTTTTATTTTATATAAAAAATTTAATATAAAATTGATAAATTTAGATATATTTAAAAAAATTTCCAAGGTCCGACCCAACCCGGCCCAAATTTTTTAAACAATATTAGCCCAGCCCGAATCCGATTATTTTAAATAAAATTAAGCACGAGCCAGGCCCGAAGCCTGTTCGGGTCGGGCCGGGCCTAACTTTGCAGATCTCTACTTTCATATATATGATATTTTTTTCATCAAAATGCTTCAGATTATACATCTATATTATAATCTGATGCTCACTACTTCCTCACTACGTCGTGTCATCGCTACGTCATGCCATCGCTACGTCATGTCATCGCTACGTCGTCATGTCTCGCTACGTCACGTCTCGCTAGGTCATTTCATTGCTACATGTCATCGATACGTATTTATTTAATTGTTAATTTATTTATTTATTAATTTTTTTTCCAATATCTATACTAACAGATGAGCCTATAACATCAGTTAACTATGACACTGTAGGATGCCAAAGTAAAACCTTAAATATCTATATTATAATTTTCCGATGTACTCACTACTTCATCGTGACATCATGTCATTGCTACGTCACGTCATTGCTACGTCATATCATAGCTACGTCATGTCATCGCTACGTCATGTCATCGCTACGTCATGTCATCGGTACGTATTTATATTTGTTGATTTTATTTATTTTATTTTTTTTTCAATATCTATACAAACAGATGATCATATAACTTCAGTTATCTAAGCAACTGTAGGATGCCAAAGTAAAATCTTAAATATTCTTTTAATTTATCTTTACAAAATTTTACAACCTATGCAAGTTTTGGATGTCAAAGTAATACACATTAAATATATCTTATTTTATTTACAAAATATTAAAATTATCATTAATATTTTATACATTTACTAAATAAAATACAAATAGTCTTAATTTATTTTTAAGTAGTATTTTTTTATAAAAGCATTTTATAAATTTATAAAATCAAAATATAATTATAACCTTGATCATAGTACAAAAAAGTATAAAAAATGTATAACAAATAATTAAACAATCATTAAGCATTATAAAAAATAAGTTGTTAGAATTGTTGCAGTGAACACAATTTCAATCCATATTTTTCTCCATAATTTAATTTTTGGAGTTATCTCCAATAATACGAGGTAAGATTTGTTATTTCTTATAATAATATTATAACAAACCTAAATTTGTCATGATTCTCCAATAAGTGGTTTTCCCAGGCTTTCCCAGTTTCCCTTATTACGAATTCACATGTTTTTTTTTATGTATTCTAGAAATAAGTCGTAGACTAATTGGTAAATCAGAGATTTTCCCTTCATTAATAATAAATTTAATATCTCCGCGCTTGGGAAAAATTTTTCAAAATTATTATTGGTTGTACTGGGCTTAAAAAATATTTCTCAAAATTAATATTGGCTTGGTTTTCAAAATTATTAGGAATTGAGCTGGGCTTGAGAATTTTTTTTAAAATTATTAAGATCTTGAATGCTTGGAAATTTTTATATTGTGGGCTTGAACCTAGTTTGAGATTTTTTAATGTTAAATGTTAGTCTTATGTACAGTAATATTTTTTATAAAAAAATATATTTTGTCTCAAAGACTAGTTTCAATAACCTACAAAATGTAGACTGTCTATGCTATGCCGATAACATATGTATCCCTACTGAAGATGTCACTAACATTCATTATTTTAACAACAGTCTCAAATAATATGGGAAAAATCCAAATTTAAAAAAAACTAAAATTCTCTTTTCCTTTCTTTCCCTTTTAATTTCTTTTATTATCTTCCCCTTTCTCATCATTTCCCTCTCCCCTCTTCACTTTTTTATTTCCTTTTTCTTTATCTTCACCTTCCTTTCCCTTTTAATTTCCCTATTTTCTTTCCATTTAATTTTCTCTTATTTCCCTACCTCAGGATACACACTCCAACTGAAGGCTAGGCTAATATCAAAAAATAAATATCACCCAATTCTTAATCAACTCATATCAAAACAAATTAAATTATACTGGGTTATATGACGTGAAACCCAACCAAATCTACTAATAATGCAAAATAAAGTTATTCATCTATATAAAAATGCTTATACTTTTTTACATTTTAGTATATATCTATTTTAGCTTCTGATGATATTCCCACCATTTCTAGGAAATTGAAAAATATTAAAAATTTATAAATACAACTATCATCATTAATAAATAGTGTCAATCACTTTTTTCGAATAAATAATTAGTTTAAGCATGACATATGGATCCTAATACAAATTTTACAGGCACTGAAAGCTTATTCAAAAAATCACTTTTACAAGATATAGTTCAAATTAGTTGTAAAACTAAAATAATTACGTTAGTAATTATATATATTATCGATATCAATTCAGTTTTTAGATCATTACAAGATACCATTAAAACAGATATTGATGAGGAATGTAATTTACTTTCACAAATTTCAATAGAAACTTTGCCTGAAATATCAGTTATGGTAAATTATATTGAATTTTTCTAAATCCATATTTTTTAAAGATGGATACCCTGAAATACTATTATGATAAATTAAATGTTATTCAGAATGACATGAAATATATTAATACAAAAATGGCATCTTTGAAGGAAAAAATCAAAATTAAAGATGAAATAAAAATATTAGCAGCATTGGAAGATGATATTGAAATTGCAGAATCATTTGATTAAATTGTAAAAATATCTATTTTCATAGGTATATTTATAATGAATCTAATTTAATAATGTGCATTATTTTAATCTAATTAATGCAATGGATTTTAATTTATATATTATTAAAACTACTTTATAAAATATTAAAATTCTAGTAAACTATTATATTAAAGCATTTTGGGCAATTTTTATATCTATGTATACATTATCTCAAAAATATTAACTCTTTAGAGAAAAATAATATATCTTGTTTAACTTTTTTTAAACAGTGTTTTATTTATTAAATTTAAAAATAAAAAAATATATAGTGTAATTACTTCAACACTAAATAATGTATATCAGAAAATCATCTAAAGGGCTGCACAGAAATAATATTAAGGCATACTTCTTGCAATCACCTAACCCAGTATTGTGAAATTTTTTTATTAAGGACCCACTCCCCAAATTTGCTCAGAGTGATACAAACCAATGAAACAAAGTTATTTGAAAAAAAATTATATTTTATTAATTTCTGTGGAATGATTTTTATTATTTGATGGAGTGAGTATGTCTACATGAGCAATCTCAAGTCAGGGGTTGACCCATGCCAAAGGATATTTCAGCAGAATATTTATTGCCACCTAAATTTGTCCATTTGTTTGAAAGTATACCCTGGCCATAAAAATTTTGTCACTGAAACCTGGTGTCAGCCATGACAATTAAAACATTTGGGCCTGGTTATGCTTATGATTTTAAAAACCAATTAATACATCCCAATATGTTTGTTACAGTATTTTCAGACACTGGTTCATTTGGACATCAAACCATAAAATTATTCTAAACAATAAGACAAAAATTACATTTGATTACATGTGAAAAGGGTTAGTATATACAGCAAAGAATATCTACCAAAATTTCTTTATTTTATTTTTTATTTTATAGATATTATAAAATATATTTATTTTTTTTATATAAATCTTGTTAACCTATTAATTTAACATTAACTATTAGTAATTTTAATTAAAAAAAAATTAAGCAACAATATTTACAGAATTTTTGATAAATTAAAAAACGATGTTTATCAAGTTTTTTTCTCATATCCTAAAATAGATACAATAAGGAAGAATCAATTACAAAAATTTTGGTATTATTATTAAATAACATTTTATGTTTTACGATATTTTGAATTCTTAATACATATTTATTTCTTATATAGAAAATAACTTAAAAACACAACTGGTTTCTTATAAAATGTAAAATTTAATTAATATAATGTAATACAAGTATTTCATAAATTTAATATATGATATTAATATAATTCCACATCAATTTCATTTGTTATGGAAATTATGATAGTATCAATTAATTTATAATTATTCCATTGAAAATTGAAGATAATTGTACTAACACCATCTACATTAAGTAAAAATATCTATATTATGGAAAAGTATAAGTATTACATGAAAAGGTTATCATCATTAGAAAATATTCTTAAGGATATACCCTTGGGTGAGGATGGGATATAAGAGAAAATTTAAGATAATATTGATAAGGAGATGGTAGAGATATGAGTAAGAAGTTTTAATATCTGAAATTAGTTTTGTGTAAAAGTCAAGTTCATTTGACTACAACTATGGTTTGTAGTCGAATAACTCTACAAAAACTCGAGCGACAAAATGGGTAGATTAGTTGACTCATTTTTTCCTTGGCCCATTTAGCTAACTAAGTCGGTCAATTTAGCCTGGATTGTTAGATTGTTGTTACGGAGTACCAAGTCGGTAAATAGTACCATATAAAAATGATATTTAAATTGGCTAAAATAGAAGGAATATACATATAGGTCAATCCTTGATATAGGTCAGTTAAGTTAATATATAATAGTAGTGGCGAAGGCCTGATTTTGGTAAGAGTTTGGTTTGAAAATATAATGTCAAATTTAACAATTTTTTCAATTTCGTTCTTCATTTTTATAAAACATATTTTATTTATTTTATCTGCATTTATAAAACACATATGAGGTAAGGTTAACCATATAAATAAAAAATAGTGTATATATGGAACTTAAAATAGATTAACGCAAGTGTTGGTAAATAGTCTTATACTAAAAATCTATATTATTATTATATTCTATGAGAAATATATTTTTTAAAAATTCAATTGTTTATTATATTTTTAATTTCAAATATTCAAAACGTTTAAAAAATATATATTTAAAAGAAAATAAATAGGGAAATATATTTAATATAGTGAATTTTTTTTTAAAAATTATCATGTCGAAAATAATTTTTAGATTATTCCATATATTTAAATTTGTCAAAAAATTATCGAAAAAATTCAATTTTTTTTTCTTTTCTTTTTAGCTATCACCATTTTTGGTGGTAAGCCCTTCAATATCTCTCTCCTTACTCATGCTATTTTTATCTAATTTATATTTCTGATCGATTCCATTTGGATTTCCCACCGGAGTATCGCTATCAATGCCAAAGTATCTTGATCTCGCACCGAATTATTTATATTGACAGATATCCCACTCCTCACACCGAAGTATCAAATCGACAGATATCCCACCGGAGTATCGTTATCAAGTCCATTGTAGCTTGGTAGACATTGAGCTTAAACGGCCCCACCACCCGGCTGTCTAAGCCTATCGGTGACCGGGGTGGCATTTCTCAACTCAGAAATTTATCATATCCGTCATCGAAGAAAAACTCGAAATTTTTTTTTAGTTCCTTGCCAGGATTGAACCTGGGACCTTCGGTTTCCAAGCCTACATCATACACCACTGGGCCACCCCGGCGACAATGAAAAATAAATATATATAGAGCAAATCCATTTTTGTCGTGAGTGGAAAAAAAAACTAATGGAGATTAATCTTTGTGGCTACAAGCTGTGGCTAAAATTAGCCATAAATATTGACCTGGGTCACATTATGGGCCTAGTAAAACGCTTTATATTTTTATCAAATTTTTATAATCAATTCGATACTTTTGTTGTAATCCTAGATTCATTTAAATTAATTTCTACTTTTTCTATCAAAAAATAAAATTTATTTCCCGAAATATTTTTATTAGTTATAAAAGATGTGGAAATAAAGCAAATAATTACATAGGTTGACATTTAATATTGAAAGAAATTGCTCTTAAGAAATCTGGAAGGCTTCGCACCACATCACGATATTTCTCGCAAAGTTTAATGGATCTATTTTTAATTAATATCCAGATTGATGGATGTTTATTTCCAACCAGATTAGAAAAACGATGAATCCATCCTTCTCATTGATTGTTGTGCGTTCTTTGTCAGATAGAGTAATTTTATTATTGCCTCTTACGACCTCCCTTTATACTATATTATTATAATTTTTATCGAAATCGAGAATATCCTTACCAATGTTTGGAATAGTGTTGTTAAGGTAACTAGTTAGTTATCTGTAACTAAATACATTTTTGCTAAAAAAAACTGTAACTAGTTATATTTTAAAAATTATAATTAGTAACTGTAACTGGTTATATTTTTACAACTGCCAAAAGTAACTAGTTACTTTTAAAAATATGTATGCATAAATCTAAATAAAGGAAGATAATGATTCAGATATTGAATACATTTCAATAGAAGATATAATGTATTCCTCTGGGCTAACCAATTATAATATAAATGACTTCGACTAGTAATCTGCATCGGGCCTAATTTTTCAAGCCCGGCCCGGCCCGAACCCGAAATTAAAAAAGTTTTGCCGGCCCGGCCCGGTCCGAATTTATTTAAATATAGAAATTAATTTTTATAATTACTCAAAATAAAAAACTGTTATATGTCGTTTAGTTTCAATAAATAAAATCAAATATTTTTATTTTACATAAAAAATTCAATATAAAATTGATAAATTTAGATATATTTAAAGGAATTTCCAAAGTCCGACCCGACCCGGCCCGAATTTTTTTTAAAAATATTAAGCCTGGCCCAAACACGATTATTTTAAATGAAATTAGCCCTCTCGGGCCGGGTACGGATCGGGTCTAACTTTGCAGATCTCTAACTTCGACTACTTTCTTAGGCATCGAAGATGTTCCTGTCACACATTAAACTTAGTGGCAACACAAGATGCTAATAATATACTTTTAAACAATGAGGATTATATAAAAGTGTTTAAGGTTGCTAATCTAAATATCAACGTTTGTGGAATACACAAAACAAATCTGGGCCATCAGCTGAGCAAATTAAAAAGAGATTACATTCACAGCTGCCATATCCCATTGTAACAAGATGGGGTTCTTTTTATACATCTTTATCTAAAATATTATCACTTATAAGTGAAATGCCTTTGGATTTCGATTTATTATGTGATGAATTAGAATTGTGTAGATTTACATCACAAGAACGTGATTTTATTAAAGAATTTGCAGTGTAAATTTAAATTAATGTCTTATAAATAATTTAAAATTAAAAAAATTAGATTATGCAACCAGTAGCTAAAGCTATTGATATACTAGAAAGTAATATATGTATCTAGGTTATTATACCCCAACAATAACACAGATACTTATCTGTCTGGAAGGTGTTCAAGAATTAAAATATTGTCTACCTTTAAAAGATGCTATATTAGCTAGTATTAAAAAAGGTAACTTAAATTAAATAATTATTTATAAATTAATAATACAATGATATAGGTTTCATGCTCTTTATGATAATGATAACATAATTGCTGCTATTCTTCATCCACTATTTAAAACTGATTGGCCTTGGATAAGGCAAGAAAAGAATAGATCAAAAAAGAGGGAAATTTTAAATTTAATAAATACTTTAATACCTCGCGGTGAATCTAACACAACTGGCTCATGTTCGCAACAAACATTATTAGATGTAGTTGGATTTTTTATTTAAAGCGTCAAAATATTATTGATAATGATGAAATTATTGAAAATTTTATTAAATCCAATAACAGCACATTATCTTTATATGACGATTTTCCAAATTTAAAAAAAACTCTTTATTAAATATAATGTTATTACATCAAGTGCCCCTGTAGAGCGTTTATTCAATCTAGGGAAGCTCATCTTTAGAGAGAAACGAGCGCACTCCTAGATAAAAATTTGAAATCCAACTGTTAAAAGCAAATAAAATTTATTAAAAATTTTTATGAAAAATAAATGTTTTTTTTTCAATGCAAATATATAGGATATTTTTAATATAAATATTATATTATCCGATATTTTTTTCGGTACTTATTTTTTTATATAAATAAATTGTAT